CACTTGCTTTACCATTTGTAATGTGATGAAATAAACATCGAAATGTGCAGCTTTCGACAACAATTTCATTTCTGACCGTTCCCAATAGTTCGCAATAACCACCAGCGCTCGTGCTAATAAGTTTTTGCCGTGCTACGGAAGAACACCGTATGAGCCTTCGGACGTTGCCAAATTTCCTCGAGAAAACACGAATTAACCAGGGAAATTTTGAAACTTTTTCCTCAAATTTTTCTGACACATTCGTTCGCAATTTATCATAAAACATCTAAAAATCTCTCGGAAAATGTGCACAATTTTCCTAAAAATATATGTACATCCAAGGAAATTTGGCAACTCTCGAATGGTTGTACGGACTTTTTCATAGCATGGCAGCACACACTAGCATGACTCACGGGAATCTTAATCCATGAATTTGTTGGCACTTGTCTCACACGGCTCACAGTGGATCGTGTCAATTGGAGAGGCCGGACAAAATTTGGAAACTTTAAACGCTTATAACTCTGTTTTTACAAAACTTTGAGGTTCCAAAAGTGGTTCCATTGATTTTCTCGTGAATTTTTCTTCTAGAAGCACTCTTTAAAATTTTAAATGTGACGAATTAAACGTCAAAATTTGCAGTTTTAGTGAAAAATTTCATGTCCAAGCTCTCCCATGAACTCGGTCCATTGAGCGGCTCCAACCCTTGCGTTCGCCTTTTTTCCAATTCAATTGACATTATGCCTTAATTGACGAGAGACGCGTGGAACATCGATTCTTTGAAAAGTTATGACAAACTTCCAGGATAAACTCCTGCCAAATAATGACTAAAGAATCATCATTATCTTATTAAGATAGTAGAGTCAGGGAAAATCGCAGGCACGAGGCTGCAAATGTCACACTACAACACTGCCGTGCTAAAGAAATACGCTGTATCGTATAAACAGTCGAGAGTTGCTAATTTCCTCCGATAAAATGTTTGCTCTTGAGGAGAGTTATGAATACTATCCCTTCAATTTCTCAGATAGTTTATATCTGGTTGCAGATAAAATCCTCTGAAAAATTGGAAGAAAAAGATTCGCAGATTTCCCTGGAAATTCATATTTTATCAAAGGTGCCTTGGCAACGTCTAAAGGCTCATACGTTGTTCTTCCTTAGCACGGCAGAACACACTTTTCCAGCAATGGAGCTTTCGCTTATGGTAGAGGTTTTGCGATTTAAGTACTTAAATCTTGCGTACAATGGAGATGCTACAAGTGTGAGGAATTTGCGATTTGACTGTTGATTCTTATGTAAAAGTTCGCGAGAAACACGATGGTGCTACTAGTTTTCTCTGAAATCAACTCCGAAGCTCAATAAAAGCTCTCAAGTTGAGGCCAAAATGGAGGGGATATCCCACGCTATCCTGGGAGTCCACCTCTACACCAAGACAAACTCTCCATGCAAAGATAGGGAGCAAATACATTAGCAGGGTTGCCGTGTTTTCAGTTTTGGAGGCCCCAAATAAAGTGGCAACCCTGTCAATGTATTTGCTCCCTATCTTTGCATGGAGAGTTTGTCTTGATGTAGAGGTGGACTCTCAGGGTAGGGTGGGATATCCCCTCCATTTTGGCCCAACTTGAGAGCTTTTTTTGAGCTTGGGAGTTGATTTCAGAGAAAACCAGTGGTACCATCGTGTTTCTCGCAAACTTTTACATACGAATCGACAGTCAAATCGCAAATTCCTCACACGTGCAACATCTCCATTTTGCGAGAAGGACGATGGTGCCACTGGTTTTCTCTGAAACGAACACCGGAGCTCAAAAAAGCTTTCAAAATTGAGGCCGTGGAGGAAATATCCCACGCTATCCTGAGTGTCCATCTCTGTGAGAGTCAAACTCTCCATGCATAGACAGAGAGCAAATACATTAGCATGGTTGCCTTGTTTTCAGTTTTGGAGTCCTTTAAACAAAAGTGACAACCCTGTTCTTGTATTTGCTCCCTATCTTTAAATGGAGAGTTTGACTTGGTTGGTCCCAGAGAAAACCAGTGGCACTATCGTATTTCTCGCAAAATGTTACGTAGGAATTAATAATTAAAGCGCAAATTCCAGAAACATGCATGATCTCCATTTTATACGTGTACAGTACCTACGAACATACTAATTTTCTATATGTGTTTGAAGCGGTTGATAAAGGCTCGGGTGACCAGCCGAAACGTCCTGCGTATTGTGTTTATTGATTTTGGCCTTGTTTCCCACTGAATTTTTGTGTTTTTGTCGAAAATACTATGTCTGTGCCGTTCACTGGAAAAAAAACACATCGGATCTAGAGTCCAGACTCTTGAAAACATTGACAAGGAAAAATTCTCTTGATTCAATCAGATTTAAACTTAAATCAAAAGGAAATCCGCTCAAATTAAGATGCTTGGTTCTTGATTTAAGCTAGATTCTGATTGAATCAAGAGTACTTTTTCTTGTCGACGTTTTTAAGAGTCTGGACTCTAGATCCAATGTGTTCTTTTTCCAGTGTTCTTTGATTGATTTTAAGTTTCAGGTTTGTCACGTGGGTCGCTTTGGTTGGGACCCGACACAAACTAGCATGATCTTTGCAAAATTTGTTTTCTGGGGGGAA